TATTTCTGGGTCTTCCTCAGTATGTATGGGTAGAGGAAACTCTAGCTTCCCCCTCCAGATGTTTTAGTTCAAACCTGCATTATATTTTTAGTTCAAAAGTTAGATCTTTCCTTAGTGAAAGTGTAGTTGCTCTCTTTGAAGCGGTGGGGGGATCTGTAAAAACATCCCTTTCATTGTCCCAGGTTCCTGCCAATGCCCCTGCCCCTGCACTCTTTCAGGTCAACTATAGAATCTGCTGAACTCTTTCAGGTCAACTATAGAATCTGCTGAATCTGCAGCTTCTAATTGTACGGAGTTCTGGGGATCTGGGAACCAGAAGGTTGGTAGGCAAAACAGGTATTTGTGTATCCCATATTTGAAAAGGTCTTCATTGTTTATCTAGAAAAAGGAGTTAAAAGGAGAATAAGAGAGATAATTGATAACTTACAAGTGACAATTTATAGGATGAATAGGTCTTGATAGTTTTTATAAGTCTAGAGCTATAAATGTCTTTCCTTCCTGTATTAAAAAAAGAAGCATAATTTGCATACAATAAAGTATGAATATTTTAAGCATTCAGTTCTGAGCTTTGACAATTTTATGCAGCGATGTAGTCACCACCAAAATTAAAATAGAGACCTTTCCCACTGTCCTAGAGAGTCCACTTGTGTCACTTTGCATCCAGTTCTCCTGATCCTCACCTCCATATGAGGCTCAGTACCAGTGATTCCTGTCATTACAGATGTGGTTTTGTCCATTTTGGGAATTCTTATGAACGAAACCATACAGTATGTGCTCTTCTGTTTCTAATGTATGACATGCTGTATTCAAGGTTTATTCATATTGTGTCTATTGCTTGCCACTGCTAAGTTGTATTCTAATAAATACAATTGTTTAGTCATTGTACTGTGGATGAACTTTGGGTTGTTTTCCAATGTTTGGATATAAATAAGGTTAATGTGAAAGTTCTTATACAAATCTTTCTGTGGAGACAGGATTTTATTTCTCTTGATAATTAACAGATAGTGCAATTGTAGGGTCATAGGAGAGGTGTATATTTAACACCCTCCAGTGGAATGGATGAAAGTTCCAGTTGCTCACATCTTCACCATCATTTGGTGTTACCATTACCAGTCTATTTAATTTTAGTTGTGCTGGTGAGTACCTTCTTATGCTGTGTGGTCATTTGTATCTACTTTTTTTTTTTTTTAAAGATTTATTTATTTGTACATACAGAACTGGGGTACAGGCCAGAGGCTCAGGGGTGGTGAGAGGCTTCACCAGAGACAGAGTGGGGAGCAGAACAGGTAGATCAACGAAGTACACTGCTGAGGGAAGCAGCGGGCGGGCCAGGAGAGGTCTGCCACGCCATGTGGTCTCCTCTGGGGCAGGCGGGAATTGAACTCATGCGGAAGTGGCTTTTTAGCTTCTCAGTGCAGTGCTTTAACACGCTGCGCCACCAGGGAGGACCTGTATCTACTTTTAAAAAGGGTCTTTTCATTTTTTTTTTTAACCGGAACAAAAAAAAAAAGAAATAACCTTTGAGTATAGACTTTGAAAGAGTTCTTAATAAATCCTGGATATAAACCCTTTATCAGATATTTTGAAAATCGCCCGAGCAAAAATTTTAGTTCATTTTCCTTCCTCCAAGTGAAGGGAAATTAAAATTAAGAAAATAAGCATTCAAGGAAGAGCCTGTCTTACTAAATTTTAGTTTTTGCTTTGTTTCCTCACCCTGAATCTATGAAGGGTCTGCTTATTATAGGAAGATCCCAGAGATCCTAATGCCTGGAATCTGTGTAATGGACAGCAAAGTGCCTTGGGTCCTGGTGAGGAGGAACAGAGTAACGTTGAGGTGATTTATGTGGAAGAGTGAGACTCAGAGGTCTGGTATCTTGGCAGTATGAGTTTAAAGGAAAAGGGAGATATGTCCAAAATTCTATGTCTGGTGTTTCTATATTATTTTCTTCCACTTCCTAACATCCTCATCCTTTCTACCTGGCACCATCAAGCTGAAGGGCCCAAGTGTTAAGAAGCTGCAGAATGAAAATATCAAGGGATACTAAACAGCACATCTTAAGGTGTCCTTCCTGGGACTACACGCTCTCCGTCTACTCTCTCCTTCCATTCCTACCAAGCACTGGTGTCCAGAGCTTGTAATAGTCTGAGTTGTATAATTCTAATATTTGCTGAAGTTTAAATTATTTTATTCTGTTTTCCTCAAAGAATGTTCTTTCACTGGGTTTCTCCTCCATGTCTTCTTTCTGGGGTACAAGGCTAGCACACAGATTTTTTTTTTTTTAAGAAAATTTTGCTTCCAAGCCTGAAGCTTACCTGCTGCTAGTGAACAAATACAAGTTGTCCAGCATCATCGCATGTTCCTTTGTTACCTGAACCAGTCAAACATTTTGAGCACTGACTCTGAGAATTAGCGCTGCCTTCTTTAGCTTGGACAAGAGCTCCAAAATGCTGTTGTCCCTTCTTCCAATATGCTCAAATTTTTACTACCATTCTAGGTAAACACTCTGACATGACACACCTCAGGACAACCCTCAGACAGAGACATTTTTCTCTGACTTATCTCATAGCATGGGGCATGTGGTTATTTGCTATAAAAAGTCAAGACTGTAAAAAGTATTAAATTGGTGATTTAAATTTCTTGGGAAAGAAGCCTAGAAGAATTTGTTCAGGACAAAAAAGAGGGCCTGAACCAAATGAATAAAAGATGGAACACAAGGTACTCAAAGGGCATTCAGCTTTCAATCAAGCCATTTTGTTTTCTATCCACTCAATGAGCTCCACCTCAGCCTCTTACCCACTCAGTTCCTTTCTTAGCTAGCTCCAGTGGCCTTTATCTTCCTCATTTTTCTGAATTAACTGGAATATTAGGATACAATGACCTATTTGAGAGGTGCATTGACAGTATTTTTACTCTAACAATTGTCTACTCTAAGCCGCAACCATAAGGGAAATCAGACATGGAGCTAAACATTTAGGAAGACAGAGGCAGTGGGACATGGAACGGCTCACTATAAAATGAAATCCAAATACTTTCCTGCCAGATGAGAGTCTCTGAACTAGCATTTTGCTGCCAAAATCTGACCCAAGGAACTTGATTAGCAGGCAGTGTGGGCTTTGAGTTTTTAGGGAGATCTCTTCATTGGTTCTTCCTATTTCTGGGTCTTCCTCAGTATGTATGGGTAGAGGAAACTCTAGCTTCCCCCTCCAGATGTTTTAGTTCAAACCTGCCTGAATTGAAGGCGCCTGTCATTTCTCACTTCCGATGGCCTACAACCCATCTTTATTATCA